TGTGTGATTTCCCTTTTTTCAGGGGTATAAAAACGTAATTTTTTTTCTTCTTTCATTTTTCAGACTTTTTTTTGGAGAACTCTCTCTCTAGAAACATTATGGACGATTTCATTTTTCAAATATTTTTTAAAGTTTTTGTTGGAGAAAAATCATTTTATTAGAGAAGTTTTAAACAAATATTCCAAAAAAATAAGAACTAATTTGATAATTTTTTGCAAAACTTTATATAACAAAGTTGTTTCATAGTTAAACTCTATCAATTTTGTAGTTAAAATTAAATAATAATAATAATAATAATAATAATAATAATAAACGCAAAATCGCAGGTGGGATGAGAGGAAATCGCAGATGAACTTAGTTCATCTGCGATTTCAGTCAAATATTGGGGTATTTATACGGAAAAAATAAAAAAAAAACTAAAAAAAACCACCTGCAAACGTACAGGTCGCTAAAGCACGACTTTGTTTTAGCGACTTGTACGTTTACAGATAGAATGCTAAAATCCATCTGTGATTTTCATGGCTATATTTATAATTTGAGTTTTTTTTTGCTATTTTCCACAAAATAATTAAGTAATTTGGTTATATTTGCAATTTTCTCTTTTTTTTTTATCATATAGAACATTAACACTTTAGATTTTTTGCTTTATTGAGTCCAGGACTTTATCAATATATCCTAAAGGAATCAGTTCAGGAAAAGGTACAAATTTGTCAATTTTTCTAGAGGTACATGAAGCTGCATTGGCTCGTTCTGGTTGGAGAGTTTATGCAAAATACCAACTTAGGGTTAAGAACCAAAGAGGTTATGATGATAGAGTAGGAGGTAAAAAAAAAATTAGAATTCTTTATTATCTATCATTTATGTAGTTGATGATTGTTTTATTAATTTATTATGCGTCTCTTATGTTTGTATTTGTATTCATATTTTACCTTGCAGAAACAGAACACTGGTTTTTGCGAATCGGAAGTTGATTGGGGTTTTTCGCAATTCATGCTTTTGAGTGAACTAAAGGACAGAACAAAGGGGTTTCTGTTGAAAGATAGGCTTATTGTTGAAGCAAAGATTTTAGTTACTGGACTGATAAAAGATTTTATCTGAAGCATGAACTTAATCATTGTCGATGCTTTGGGAGAATTTGTGGATTACCATAAGTTTTTTGTTTGGAGCTTTGCTTTTTGATGTTTGGATTCATGGATGACTCTCTACTGCATTCTTAATTCATGGAATGTAACAGTTTGTGTGAGCTTTAACCAAATAGGTGTTTTGGAAAAACTTATTTACCCAATACTTATTTACCAAAATGGGGTTATTTAACATTTTTTTTTTTTTTTTAAAAGGTTTCATGTTCCTTTTCTTTCTTTCACGCTATCGGCCATGAACCAAAAAAAAGCCAAGATTCATAACACACAAAAATCTTCATTGTAGTTATTGTTTATTTTTTTTAATATAAAATTTTTGGTTTTAGTTTTTGCTATTAATGTTTATCAGGTTTTTATTTTGTTTATCTATTAATTTATTATTATTATTATTATTATTATTATTATTTTTACAATTTGATCAACAATTGGTGATGCATCTTTTGGCGTCAAATTATAGCAATAACTTAGAAAACAATAACATTTCTCTACAACAATACCCTCCAATACATCCTCTATATTTATGCAAAAAAATTCTTTCTTTAAAAAAGGAACACACATAGTGGCGGAGCTTGAAGTTTTGATTTTAGGGGGCGAAAAAAGAATATGTATAAAAATTGAACAATAAGGGGGGCCAAAGTCAAATTTTATAGTTTTAGGCATAATACGTAACTTTTTTAATACATAAGGTCATAAGGACTAATTATAAATTAGTGGGGGCCACAGCCCAGCCCCCCCCCCCCCCCTCCCCTATATAACCTCTGCCACTGAACACACACTCAAGATAAAATTAATATATGGAAGTCCAAGCTAACAAACCTACAGAGGATTTTGTTTTGATAATAAGTCATAAAAGGAACACAAATTCAACTTTCAAAAATCCTTCAATTCAGAAACGAGGCCAGGGGAAACATAATCACATTAACTTAAAAAAACATAACAAATAAGGATTAAGGAGGAGACATTCTTCCACATATACTCCAATTGCGAACATTTATGATGATGATCGACATGCTCACAAGTGCTCCTAATCTTCTTGAGCAAGTCTTCCATAATCTTGAGTGACAAAATTCATCCCAAACATCAATTTGGTATTAGAGAGAAATTACAATCCTGATATAGCCTGTACATATAAACTAATTTCATGTTTTTTTTAAACCTAATCAACACATTGCTATATTCAAGCAATAAAAAATCAAGCCTAATTTCGTTCAATTCTCAGAAATCAGTAAACAGAATTCAAAAATCAGAATTCTCATAAATCTACCATAAGCAATCTAATCTAAGAAAACTTCTACACCAAAATTCAAAATCATAATTTTTTTTTCTATAACCAACACCTATTCCATTCAAAAATCAAACACGGAGTTCAATTTCGAACCTGAAGTTCCTGGTTACCATAATGTTTTATTTGAATACATGCGTACTTCGTTGGTATTCTGTGTACAAATACTACTTTAATGATATTTTTTGTACTAAAAAAACAACAATGATATTTTTTTTAAACACTTTGAAAACCGGGTAACATGATGGTTACCTACAATAGCCGGTTCAATGGTATTTTGTATATTAAAAAAAACAATTTTTTTTGTACATTTTTTAAACTTCGTTACCTTTTTAAGTCATTTTGCCTTTTCTTTTATTAAATGGAATAATCACCTTGATTGGTAAATATTTTGAAAATTATAGTAATAAATTTTTCAAAAAAGGGTTGGCTCATTTAGACACCCAACATAGTTTTTAAAATATTTTTATTGATTGAAATTATATTATTTTATAAAAAAATTGATTATAAGTAGTTAACTATAATATGAGTTTTGATAAAAATATCTATATATAAAATGTAAAAAACATTTTTTGGTCAAAAACTCTACTTACTAATTGCAATGGAGTTGTAATTTGATCCAATGATCTACAAGCGTCCAAAAAGTTATGATTGTCTTAGCCACGTTATTTATTTATTTATTATTATTTTTTTAATGAATGAAACAAAAGGCGGTGATAAATATATAGGAAACTTTTGTCCTATTATGGTAACTAGGAAAGAGCCTATGTTTCGCATGGGTTGGAAATAATTTAAAGTTTCCTAAAAAAATTGGTTGGAAATAATTTAAAGTTTTCTAAAAAAAATTGGCACAAAAGTGACAATTATCAAAGTTTAGTGGCGTTAGTATAAAAAATCATCAAACTTTAGTGCCAAGAGTGTAAATAAGTAAAAGTGAAAGTTTTGTGGCAAAAATGTAAAGAAATAAAAGTAAAGTGGCAAAAATATGAATTGGAAAAGGTTCCTGTTAAGGTAAAAGTGTAAAGAAATAAAACTAAAGTGGTAAAAGTATGAATTGGAAAAGGTTAAGGCAAAAATGTAAGGAAATAAAACTAAAGTGGCAAAAGTATGAATTGGGAAAAGTTAAAAGTGGCAAAAGTATGAATTGAAAAAGGTTAAGGCAAAAATGTAAAAAAAATAAAAGTTAAGTGTCAAAAGTATGAATTGGGAAAAGTTACTGTTAAAAGTATCTATGTGCTTTAATATATATATAATAAGTTAGTGCTCTTCGTGGACATCATGGTCATTTTATTAAAATTTTTACCACAAAATATAAAAGAATTATGCCCTTGACGACCGATCATAGTAGGTTAACGTCCAATTGACATATTCATGTCATCTACATGACATTTACATGGTACCTGCATGTCATATACGATTGAAAAAATGACTTAAAAGGATGACTAACTGTCACATTTTGTTTATGGTTTAGCCTTTTTTTTTGTACATTATTGACCATTAAACTCTCATATTGTGTTTAAATTATACCCTTATGATCGAAAATAACATGTATTTTCGGTTTTACTTCTTTAAATCGTAGTATAACTGTTACAACTAGACTCTCACTAAATATGATAACACCCAGACATGCATGATAATGGTCTTTTTTTTTTATAATTGGCAATCGTTCCGTGCTTTAGCCGAGACAAAAAAAAATTATATAACACGATCACAACAAATACGAAAACGGTAAAATAAAATAAACATTTAATTTATTTAATTCATAAACACGTGTTAATATTTTGTCAATTTTATGTCGAAGTTTGAGCACTGAGAGGGTGTTTGAGATTTCATTTTAAATCTTAAAAGGACGTTTATTCAAAATGATTTATTAACTTATGGTGGTGAAAAAAATAGTTTTTTTAAAAACTGTTTGTTTTAAGGAGAATTTAACTTTTACAACTTGAAAGGTTATAAAAAGCTTTGAAAAGTTAGAAATCCTAACTTATTACAATCTTCTTTTTGAAAAGGCTTATAAGAAGTTATTTTAAAAATCCTTATTACATTGCCAAACACTATTTTTTAACTTATTGATTTTTCAAAAAGCTAATAAGTCAATAAGTTATTTTTAAATGAAATCTCAAACACCCCTAACACGACAAACACGATCTCGGTATTTTTTTTTACACTTGACATGAATACAAAACGAACACAAATTCAAATTTCAATTCAGTAAAATTTTGTTTCATTTATTTATTATTATTGTGTCGTATTATTGATTGACACTCATATTTTTTCAATCTTATATGTTATATGGATACTACATAGATTTACGTATATACCAATTGGATGTAACTTACGAATTGGATGTAACTTACGACAACCGGTATAGATATAATTTGAATAAAATTAAAAAAAAATTATTGATAAATAATAAAAAAATAACAAAATATAAACAAAAATAATACTCCAATTGATTAGTGTTGAATCATTTTCCTAATTTCACTAGGAGCGTTCATATTTTCTATTTTAGCCCCTTGAATAAACCACACAACAATTGCAAATATAGGGTGCCGTCTTTGTCATTTTCTTGCGGATAGCCAAGAAGCATACATCTGTAACCTTTCTCTAACATTCTAGAGCAATCGGATTTCTAGATCAATCTCCGATCGATCCAAAATCCCATTTCCTTTAATTACTCCATCATGTTGCTCTGCTGTTCTCGCCTCAACGATTCTCAAGTAATCTTGCAACAATGGTCGTCAGTTGCTCCATTCCAGCGATCACCCACTCAGTTTCTTCATTGTCAGGCACACAACACAAGAAAACTAATAACCCACGAGTCATAATCAATTCGCTTCTCAAACACCCTTCTCATCACAAACCCCATCGTAGTTTTACTCTCTACAACCCCAAAAGACTCAAGATTTCAGTCAAAGCCGAGAGGGAAACCGAAGAATCAACTGTAACTGTAGCTTCGGTTGAACGCGAAAACGAAAATGGTGAAACCCATTTGGGATCTAAACCCAGCGAAGAAAATGGAGCTGAAAGTGAAGGGAATGAGGATCAGCAAGAATTGGATTGGAAGACTGATGAAGATTTCAAGAAATTCATGGGTAATCCTTCGATTGAAGCTGCTATTAAGCTCGAAAAGAAAAGAACAGATAGGAAGCTAAAAGAACTCGACAGAGAAAGAACCAGCGATAATCTACTTGTGGGTTTGTTCAATCAAGTGCTTCGTGATAATTTATCTAGAGAGAAACAGAGGCTCGAGAAAGCAGAAGAGAGTTTCAAAGCTCTTGATCTCAACAAGGTGAAACCTTTCTTCCCCAAACGAAACAATCTCGATTCCATCTTCAAAACCCATATGAAATCTGATCATATACTATATATTTTTTGAATTGCAGCTAAAAAACTGTTTTGGGTTCACTACATTTTTCGCAACCGATGCTAGGAGATTTGGCGATGGGGGGATTTTTATCGGAAACTTGAGGAGACCCATTGAAGAAGTAATCCCGACATTAGAACAGAAACTCTCGGAAGCAGCAGGAAGGGAAGTCGTTTTGTGGTTCATGGAGGAAAAGTCTGATGACATTACAAAACAGGTAACTCGATTGCTGATCATATCATCACATTACTTCTTAATGATTGAATGCTTATTTGCCATTCGTATTGCCAAAAGGTGTGTGTTGTTCAACCGAAATCAGAGATCGATCTTCAATTCGAATTGACCAAATTAAGCACTCCATCTGGCTACATCAGTGCAATAGCTTTAGCAGTGACCACTTTCGGGACGATTGCTTTAATGAGCGGCTTCTTCCTTAAACCCAATGCAACTTTCAACGACTATTTAGCAGACGTTGTGCCACTTTTCACCGGTTTCCTAACAATTCTAGGCGTTTCAGAGGTACCAATTCTCTCAATTTCTATCATATTTTGTCAAATTTGACTGATTTAAGTACCCAAATGAATGTTAATTTGATATGTAATGCAGATTGCGACTAGGATTACAGCAGCACGATATGGTGTGAAACTTAGTCCATCGTTTCTTGTGCCCTCTAATTGGACAGGGTGTTTGGGGGTTATGAATAATTACGAATCTCTTCTTCCTAATAAAAAGGCTTTGTTTGATATTCCTGTGGCTAGAACAGCTAGTGCTTATTTGACGTCACTAGCACTTGCAGTAGCTGCTTTTGTCGCTGATGGAAGCTTTAATGGAGGAGATAATGCCCTGTAAGACTCTGTTTTTTTTCTTTTTCTTTTTTCATTAAGGGGTTGTTTTTTTTTTCTTTTTTTTTCTTTTTTCAGACGGTTTATTAAGTCTTGAAAAGAAAAACAAATCGACCTTACTTGATTAAGGATTGTTTGTATGCAGGTACATAAGACCTCAATTCTTTTACAATAATCCGTTGCTTTCTTTTATCCAATTTGTAATCGGTCCATACACAGACGATTTAGGCAATGTGTTGCCTTATGCTGTGGAAGGTGTTGGGGTTCCTGTCGATCCTCTTGCCTTTGCAGGGCTTTTAGGTGAGGCTCCTTGAAACTTTTCATTATCGGATAAGGGCATTTTGGTCATTTTCTAAAGTTCTACAAGTTTATCAAACTTGATGTTGAAGGGTATTTTGGTCATTCTCTAAATATTCAACATTTCAATTTAAAGAGTAAATTACATTTTTGGTTTACGAATATAGTTGCTTTGCAATTTTGGTCTCAAAAAGTTTCTATTGCAATTTTGGTAATTATTTAAGATTTCTGTAACGTTTTTGTCTTTGTTCCAAGTGAAATGATTGTATTTTCGTGTCCAAAAGTTTAAAACTAGCTACATTTAGCGAACAAAATAGTCATTTTACTTGGAACATGGATCAAAAACGTTACAAGAATCAAGAATCTCAAATAAGGACCAAATTGCAAGAAACTTTTTTGGGACCAAAATTGCAAAAACTAGATATACTTAGGAACCAAAAATATTATAATTTACTCTAATTTAAATGATGTTTAAAAAATATTTGAGAAAATCACTACAAACTTTAGGAAATGGGAGGGAAAAAAATGAGGGAAAATTTAAATTTGTAGAAACTTTTAGGACTTAAATGGGAAATCATAATTGCTCTTACTTTTTCTATTGTATCATTCTTTCTGTATTAAAGTAAAAAAGTAACACTCATATATAGCTTACCAGATAAAAATTTATCTGATACAGGAATGGTGGTGACTACATTGAACTTGTTACCGATTGGAAGACTTGAAGGAGGTCGAATAGCTCAAGCCATGTTTGGTCGGAGCAAGGCGGCACTATTATCATTTGCCGCCTCATTCCTTTTAGTCATCGGCGGTTTTAGCGGTAGTGTCCTTTGTCTAGCTTGGGGGCTATTTTCGACTTTTTTTAGAGGTGGTGAAGAAATACCTGCAAAAGACGAAATTACCCCTCTAGGGGATGATAGGTATGCTTGGGGGTTTGTTCTTGGGCTCATATGCTTGCTTACACTTTTCCCGAATGGTGGAGGGACGTTCTCTAGCACGTTTCTTAATGGCCCGTATTTTAGGGGCGATTTGTGAATCTAGTAGTGTATGTTGTTGGTTGGTATATTTTTTGTTGTAAAGTTTCATGTCTTTTTTGTTCTACAGGGACTTATGTTTTATCATTGTAATACAATTGTATCATGTACAATCTTTGTATATAACTTCAAAAAAGTTTTATGTCCGATTAATATTTTACAATGTACACAGTGGCGAATCTAAAACAAAAAATCACGTGGTTCCTAAATTAAGTGAGACTAATAAAAAAATCAACAACACTTTTGAGGTCGGGTCGGCTCATGTACCTTAAAAGAACTGAACCAGTTCAATCGGCCCATGTACCTTGTGCCACCGATTAAAAATTTTAAAAAACCAATTGAAATATAACTGAAAAATGTGTACGATTTAACGAAAAACTAGTTGATTATTAGTCCATTGATAAAGCAACGAACGGAGAGTGAGAGTCTTTGCCACGTGGACTTTCATTTTATTAGAACAACTTATTTATTTATTAATATTTTGAGAGTGACGATTAAGAGTGGTTAACTTTTTGTTATCAATCTCGTAATTTAAACTAACAAATTGCCCTAATAACTTATATATTTCTCTTTTTAAAATGGTTTTTTAAGAATTTTTTTAAAAAAACAAACTCAAGGTAGGTCCTTTATTTTTCTAAGGTGGTTCCTAATTTTTCTATTATATACATTCTAAATGAAATTGAGAACTTAGGTAGGTCCTAGGACCTACCTAAGCATATGGTGGATACGCCCCTGACGGAGAGTGAGAGTCTTTGCCACGTGGACTTTCATTTTATTAGAACAACTTATTTATTTATTAATATTTTGAGAATGACGATTAAGAGTGGTTAACTTTTTGTTATCAATTTCATAATTTAAAATAACAAATTGCCCTAATAACTTATATATTTCTCTTTTTAAAATGTTTTTTAAGAAATTTTTTTAAAAAACAAACTCAAGGTAGATCCTTTATTTTTTCTAAGGTAGTTCCTAATTTTTCTATTATATACATTCTAAATGAAATTGAAAACTTAGGTAGGTCCTAGGACCTACCTAAGCATATGGTGGATACGCCCCTAAATGCACATCAAAATGAAAAGAGTTTATTCTATAGGGGCTTAATGTTTTTATAATATAAAAATCTATTTATATAGTCACATTTATTAAACACTTCTAAGAACATCTAGTTATATTTTAAAAAGGATTTCAAATATAGAGTTAAAGAAATTATGAATAAAAGAATATGAAAGTGTGGTGTGATTTTAACTCCAACGTACAAAATGTTTTTAACTGGATAAATAAAAATGAAATAATCTGGAAGATAGGCAACAATGCAACATGCTGCTTCCTTCAACCATTTGGGAAAATGTTAATGTACACTATTCTTGAATGTCCAAATTATTACTAGTATTTATATTCTAACCCTTGTTTTTGTAACAGCTGTCCCATACTCCCATCAAAATATTATAAAATAAATTATTTGACATCAAAAGTTCCCATCTTTTGAGCGCACGATATTGTACCAAATATGACCGAGAAGCATCTATACCTTAAAACATGTTTATCGCTTATGAGTAGGCATTTTAAGATTAAAGCTTTTGTAGAGTTTTGATTTAAAATATGAAGAATCATCTTTGATTCCTCATATTTGAAGTTGATAAATTTATAAATGTATGTTTGTGATTGATTTTTAAACTCTAAAAGAATTTTTGGCAAGGACTAAGTTTTTAAAAAAATGTTTGGATTAGTTTTGCGATGCAAAAAATCAATAAGTTAAAAAGTGTTTGATTAGCTTATACATGTAAAATGATAATTTTCAAAGTTAATAAGTCAATAAGTCATAATGAGTTTGCAAAAGTTACAAATCCTAACTTTTTAAAAACTTATTTCAAAGGCTTAAGTAGAAGTGGTTTTAAAATGTCTTTTTCCTTTGCCAAACATTTTATAAAATTTATTGACTTCTTAAGAAGTCAACAAGTTAATAAAAAGTGTTTAGATGAAATCTCAAACATGTCCTTAATGTTATAAAGAAGTTAAGGAAAAGTTTCTAACAATCATTGTCCATTCAATCGATGAAATCCATAGTTACTTTTTTTTAAAAAAACCGGTAAACCTAATCTACTTCTAATCTAACACCTAATCCACCTATGTCTAGGGCGAGACTTGAATCCTCGACCTCAAAGATGAAGGACAACATCTGATACTGCTAGTCTAGAACTCAATTTGATTAAATGAAGCTTGAATTGTACTCCAATGGAGTTTAGTGTTTTAATCATGATTTTTGGATATGAATTTCAATGTTAATTGAAGATGATTTGTGTGCCCGAAACTTAGTTATGATATATTAGGCCCATATTAAGTCGGTAGAAGTCAAGTTATAAGTGTTAGAATGGAACTGGATGAAGTCATGGAGCATTTTTTAGGTTTTTAAACGAAGTGAGTGACCTGTAGATTTGACAATGATCGTGTCAAATGGGCACACGATCATGTTTGTCCATCACACGTACATATTTTTAACTTATTCATTTGAAAACAGTGATCATTTAGCTGCTTCATGTTGTTCTTAATGGACAATATAAGAGAGAGAGAAGAGAGAGAGAGAGAAGAGAGAGAGAGAGAGAGAGAGAGAGAGAGAGAGAGAGAGAGCCCTATTTTTATTAATCCATAAATTAATAAAAAAATATAAAAAATATATCAAAAGGGCAATTTAGTCATTTCAATTTTCGGAGAGACCATTTTCACATACAAACTAGTTTAAAAGGACCACCAATCCAAAAAAATCAAGGTTTAACTAAAACCCTAAAAAAATTGCATACTATAGGGACCATTTTTGCAATTTTGTATAAAATAAATCAAAAATAACCTTTTGGCTAGCTAAAATGTACTTTTCAATTATGTTTTAAATCTAATTTTCAGTTCTGGACACTATGTTTTGGCTATCATACATTAGCCTCACAACTTTATGTTATTTCCATTTGAAACCCTTGAACACATTTTTTCCCCTAATTTGTGCAAACGTTACAGTCGCCATTAATCCAACTTCCACTAACGTCTGTTCAATCTGACTGCAAAACCCTTCAAGCAAGCATCAAATGCAAGCTCTCAGTTGGAGCCCTCGCTTCGCCGTTGTTGTTAACAGGTCATGCCGGAAAACCTCGAGCTTCCGAGCATTTTCATCAGATTCATCAAATCAATCTCGCGGCGGTCTCCCTCGATTCTTCTCCGACGTCCTCCCTCCCTCCAAGGCAAACACCTCTCTCAAACGAACACACTCACACACCGGTGAACTTATTATCCATCTCATTCTGGAGCGTATATAGTCTGTTAATTGTTTTGTTTAATTGGTTAGGGTTCCGCTGTTCGTGTGCAAGGGGATGAATTCTGGCATATGACTAAAGTTCTAAGGTTGAACACAGATGACAGGTAATCCACGAATTCCAAACCTCAGTTGCTTCCTATTGAATATGCGCGCATTGACATGTATGCTTTACTTTTCCCCTTTTCTTAATCACCAACACTTGTGTCTTACGCATTACATCATATTGCTTCTGAACTACTCAATATCATTTTTCTTCTATCAGAAAATGATATTCTACCAGAACTTGTAGTTGAACACTTGAACTTAAAGTAAGAGTAATACATAAGACATCTAGTCACCATACATGGAAGATTCACTAGGCAAAAACGTGCACTAAAACTAAATATTATGATATACAGGATACCTAATTGCCATCTAACATCTATGTAAGGCTACCAAAACTTCATGCCCAAGGGAACTCACATAGTCACATGACTCTGCACTCAAAATAGCCTTTTTAAACTGAAGTAGACTTCTTGAACAAGAGCAACAATAAGAAGTTCATTGATATCTTCATGAACTTTTTCTCCTCAAGAGCAACAATAAGAAGTTCATTGAAATCTTCATGAACTTTTTCTCCTCTATCTCTGTATCTCCATAAGTAGAATCATGTTAAAGTGAGTTCCTGAGTCATCAATGACATCACTTAAGTACTAACATTTTTTGTTAATTGCTTGTTTACAAAAGGTTAAGTAGTGATAGAGGAACAATAGTCCACATTTTTTGTTATGAACTTGGATGTTTTTACCTGCTTTCCTTTTTAACTGAGATTTAAGTCATTTGTTTGCATCAATCACATTAGGTTCTTTAACTACTTTAATGATGAAATTATGTGAATATAAAGTATTAGGTGACAAAATGCTCTAGAACTTTTAGCTGTTATAAAAACACCCTCCTAAACTCAACAAGAACAATGTCATAAAACATGTTACAACATTTTAATAAATCTTTAGTTCTTCACACAATATTTTTTTTACTACACACATAACATTTCATTTATTTCTCATTACACTTGAGATTTATTTGTGTTTTTTTTTATCATGACTTTGTAAGGATAGAGCTTTTTAATGGAAAAGGAGGTCTAGTCAAAGGGTGCATAGAAAGAGTTGACCGAACTGGAGCAGATGTAGTGGCACTTGAAAATCCAAAATTAGTATCTACAAATACAACCCAATGGCATGTATTTGCAGCTTTCGGTGGGCCCCATTGACCATGAACACAAATACATAAATACACAAATCATAATTTAATTTCTTAAAATCACATTTTTTTTCTTTTATTTTTATAGGTACTCTAAAGGGTGGTCGATCCGACTGGCTCATAGAAAAATGCACGGTATGTGTTCATCTTATTTACCACAACTCCAATTTTATCTATAAATCCAGCTATATTCTATTTTTGAGTAAATTACAAGAATGGTCCCTGAGTTTCATGATTTTTTTGCAATTTTGGTCCTAATCGTGTAGTTTCCGAATTTTATATAGTAATCAAGCAAAACATTAATCAATTAATAAAGTAAGAGTAAGTCATTTTACAAAGTTGCAAAAATGAAAGCTTAGGTCCTAAAATTGTAAAAGTTCACAAAACGCAGGGACCATTCTTGTAATTTACTCTTTATGTTTTTATAATCTTAGGAGCTTGGAGCATGCAGTGTAACACCGCTTTTGACAGAACGTTCTCCTTCAATTTCTGACAACAGAGTCGATAGGTTGCAAAGAGTCATTTTGGCTGCAGCTAAACAATGTAATTTTTATATATTTATTTATTCAATTATCTTTAGGCCTTTATATTCTAAATGTTGACCTTAAATTGTAGGTCAACGTCTACATGAAATGACCTTGAACCCTCCTTTAAAAGTTCGTGACCTCTTACCTATCGTAAGTCACTTGTAATTGTTTAATATTTTATTAAGTTACATTTTTGGTCCCTGAAGTTTTGGTTGTAAACAGTTTTCTCTTGCAATTTTGGTCCTTATTTGAGGTTTTTTGTAATGTTGTGTTATAAGTAAAATGACTATATTTTTGGGACCAAAATTGCAAAAATCAGCTATACTTCCCGTTCAAAAATTGACATTTTACGTGGAACAGGGACTAAAAACGTTACAAGAACCTAAAAGAAGGACCAAAAATGTAACTTACTCTTATTTTATGAATTGCTTTGTTATAAAACTTATGTTTTCACTTTTTTTTTTATTCGCTTAGGTTTCACAATCGAAACTATCTTTTATAGCTGCAGCTGAGGCAACACCGGTTTTGAATGTTTTGACTTTATCCAAACGAGAGTCTGTTGGGTCAATCATTGTGGGACCCGAAGGCGGTTAGTAACTTACTATCTGAAATCTATTTTGGCGGTTACGAGGTTGTTATGGTCTGAAACAACGTTGTGATGTTATCATGTTCCAGATTTCACGGAAACCGAGGTGAAACTGATTCTAGAAGCGGGAGCTACAGCAGTAGGGCTGGGCCCACATCGCCTTCGAGTTGAAACCGCAACAATTGCACTTTTGGCAACAACAATGTTATGGTCTGACACCTGGCGACTATCTGATTCTTAATGTGATTTTAGGTAACTGATAGAGTAGAGTAGACTTTCTATTATGGACTTTGTTATATGCCTTAGACAAAGGTGAATGAATGATCCACTCAATCTTATGGAATACCTTCATATTAACCTCACTGGTTGCATATACAAGGTGATGTTTACATAATATATATTCAACTCTACTTAATATTGATGTTGGTTGCATATACAAGGTGATGTTTACATAATATATATTCAACTCTACTTAATATTGATGTTGAAGGTCAGCGAGTGGCATAACCCTAAGCTTCAATTTTTCTCTTATTGATTCTTTTATTTCATTCCCTTTATTAGGCATCATCAATTTTTGTTGATTCAAGTAAATGGGAAGATAATATTTGATAATTCTAACTATGTCAATGTTAATCCTCGATAGGTGAACTAATTTTATGCAAAAAAATTGTTACACTTAATAGCTCTTATTTATCCGATACAAAGTAATTTTGTTGTTGGATTTGTGACTTTCATGTTTTTATTCGAGATGATTGTGGATTTGTGGCTATCATGAAATGTAAATGATGGTGTAACAACCTCAAAGAAAGTTCTATTTGTTATTAACAATCAGATAGTTATTACTTATGTATTTTAAAAAATTGAGCTATAATTGATAAACTAGATTATAGCCCGCGTTAAACGCGAGAATCGCATAAAAAACATATAATTGTTTATAGATATTGCATAATTATTATAAAAAAAATATATATGGTTATGAGTATTATTGAAATATGTAGAAAATACATTGAAAACGATAAATATTTATAATCATTGAAGGACCTCTTTGTAGACAATATTTTTTGTTTTATTAGTTGAACGACCTTCCTCGTCTCATATAGTTATGATATTGTTATATAATTATAAGCATTTTAATTAGACGTTCATTCCATAATAAAGTTACCTAATTTAAACATATATTGACAACCAATATACCGTTTTTTCCACTGCATTAAATATTGACAACTATTTCATTTATTCAAATAAAGTCATATAATATAATTTATAGAATGTTAAATGTTATATGGATTTAATTTTAGTATATCATCAATAGAGATTCCTTTCTAAATTATGATTAGTTTATTTTAAATTGATTATGAATATAAGTGCTAGCTTTTATGTTTGTTTTTATTTATTTGGTGTTCGCAAGAACTTTGCATTATTTTTGGCGCAATTTTGAATAATTTTAGTATATCATCAATGTAATTTGGTATATCTTTCAATTATATGAAATATCAAATAATGATATTTCATTACTATTGTGATACTTTAGTTTATATATTGAATTTTTACTAATCTTAACGGTCTTATTTTTTCTAATAACCGTAACGATTTTACTAATTGTACTTTTTACAAATCTCCTAATATCTTATAATTTTTATCTTACTTTATAATTTTTCATAATTATGTTATTTTCAAGATTGACTGTCTTAATAGTTTTTTTTCCGGTCTATTCAATTTTATATTTCATTATACAACATCATCATTTGTATGTATTCTGAAATTTCACTTTAAAAATGCTTAATGTTTACACCTTGACATTAAATTTTTTTTAATAAACCCGTGTAATAATTATGGAATATATATCTCGTTTTAATTAACATTTACTTCCTTCATTAAATCAAATTCCTCATTAAACATATATATTTTTGGAAAGTAATAATTATAATGGGGCAACATTATCTAAGACGTAAATGCTTGATATACTTTTGGAGGAAAAAAGTCAGGATCATTAAAAAATTTTATATAAAGAAAATACAAATTTAAATTTGATAAAATTATGGATGAAATTACTGACGAAAATTATTTTGGAGGGAGTTGTATTTTGTAAGGTATAATAATATTACAAAATTCGAAATATGTATATTTGTTGTGTAAATTTATAAATTTTATTGTTACTATATAAAGATAAAAAAGTAGGTTGGTATGATATACAATAATATAATAATTTCAATGGTATTTTAAATCATGTCAAAATTAACCGGATTCTTATGACATAAAAATTAAAAAAAAATAATAATAATCTCTAATATATAAAAGTAACATTTTCGTAATTAATGTCAGTTCCCAAGATAGTTAATTTTTATTTTGTTAAAGGTACGTAATATCTTTTCCTGTTTATTTGAAAAGTTTCAGAAAAGTAGTTAACTGATTTCATGTAATTTGTGACAAAGAAAATCGAAATATATGAATACATATATTTGATATAGGAACAAAAAAATAATCGAAAAAAATATAAAAAGCGAAAGAAGGTACTGACCTTCTAGTGCACAAGAGCGAATGTTTGAAGCAGAGAATGATGATGGAAGTTATAAGCAATAAGAATGATGTTGTAGGAGAATGTTTGAAGAAAAGAAATGATTGAAAATAAGTGTTAGCCGCGGATTCAAGGATGAATCGTATATGTATGTGATAATTTGAATATGATGTTTTGGTATTAATGATTTCCTAATAAAAATAGATTTTATATTAATGGTTTACTAATATAAACGGATTTATATTAATGGTTGATATTAATGCTTTGATTGAAATGGTTTGTTAGTAATATGCTTTTAAAATTGACCATATTAAAATCTTCATAATCAGAAATTCAAGATTTAAAATATGGAAAACTTTTATTGGAATTAAATACATTCCATTTCAACGAATGTAAGTTATTGTTTGACGATTGGAAAGCATTTATTGGAATTAAATACATTCCATACGGGGAAGATGATGTCAGCAATTTGATCTAAGGGTGGAAAAAATAAAATTAAAATACAATCAAGGGTCCAGATTATTTAAGATGATGTCATAAGGTTTCTCTTATGATTTTTATAGTAGGATACTATAAAATGATTTTTTTTCTGGAAAGTAGGGTGCTATAAAATGTTGTATTTAGGCCCAAATAAACGTTATTAAAGGGAAGGAGGCTACAGGGAGTTAAATTATAAAAACGGAGATGTTACATGGTTTTTACAGATCCCATTCAATATTTAACCTAATTTCTATTATAGTTTCTTCTTAACTTTCACTTTCAAACCATTAAGCAGCAGCCATGAGACACAAATTTCAAGTTTATGATTAGAGCAATTGTGCACAAAATAATATTGTTATTGGTTTTCATGTAATACTGGTTTCCATTAATCCAACCGATCAATTCTTAGCAACGTGTTTCCTTAAACCGTGTTGTATATACTGGTTTCCATTAACATTGTCTTTAAAACTTTAGATCTGAAAGTACTACTATCATGCTTGATTTGATTGATTCTTTTTTTTGGATTCAATGAAGCAGTATGCTGAATGAATCGGAATATGTACATGGTGTGAACTTCTGGATACATTTATAAGATGAAGACTTTATATTTTCCAGAAACGATTAATCAAAACACATATTACCTGATGGAGAATTAACCAATTCAACCTATGTAGAATCTGTATTGAACTTGATACCTCACAATACATTACACATGTAGAAAGCGATAGCAATTTTGGAGTCCGGTACCTCGAAGAAAGAGAGGAATCAAATACGATATCAATATTAATTTTTTGAGAAGATAACAATAGTTCCTGATTTATTGGCTAATATTATACTAATTTCAAATTCAAATAAGTCAATGATATATTTTTCCTGAATTGAAGGGATAATTGTATAGTTTTCCAATTTAAAAAGATTTTGAAATCGGTATGTATTCAATTTTAAATTTAATGGCTTATCAAATGCAAACCGGTTTTGTAGGAAAGGTTTCATAGGAAGACAAAATAAGTAGGTTGGTATGATATACAAAAACATAATAATTTCAAAGATATTTTAAAATCATGCCAAAATTAACCGGATTCTTATGACATAAAAATTAAAAAAATCATAATAATATCTAAGATATAAAAGTAACATTTTCATAATTAATGTCAGTTCCCAAGATAGTTAATTTCTGTTTTGTTAAAGGTATGTAATATCTTTTCCTGTTTATTTGAAAAGTTTCAGAAATGTAGTTAACTGATTTCATGTAATTTGTGACAAAGAAAATCGAAATATATGAATACATATATTTGATATAGGAACAAAAAAATAATTAAAAAAAATATAAAAAACGAAAGAAGGTACTGACATTCTAGTGCACAAGAGCGAATGTTTAAAGCAGAAAAGATGATGAAAGTTATAAGCAATAAGAATGATGTTGTAGGAAAATGTTTGAAGAAAAAAAACGATTGAAAATAAGTGTGAGCCGCGGATTCAATGATGAATCATATATGTATGTGATAATTTGGATATGATTTTTTAATATTAATGATTTCCTAATAAAAATAGATTTTATATTAATGGTTTACTAATATAAACGGATTTATATTAATGATTGATATTAATGCTTTGATTGAAATGGTTTGTTAGTAATATGCTTTTAAAATTGACCATATTAAAATCTTCATAATCGGAAATTCAAGATTTAAAATATGGAAATGTTTTATTGGAATTAAATACATTCCATTTCAACGAATGTAAGTTATTGTTTGACGATTGGAAAACATTTATTGGAATTAAATACATTCCATACGGGGAAGATGATGTCAGCAATTTGATCTAAGGGTGGAAAAAATAAGATTGAAATACAATCAATGATCCAAATTATTTAAGATGATGTCATAAAGTTTCTCTTTTAATAATATTTAGAGATGTTGTAACCACTTGAACATAACTTAGGTCTAAATATCAAATTTAACATATGGAAAAAAGAATATTGATCGTACCCTCTTGATTATTTCCATATTTTATGGGATCTCTATGTTATATATGTTCTGGAAAAAAAACAACCGCTTAAATGTTAATTAACCGGACGAGACGATAGGTCCTAAACACATACCACAAGACAGATGAATATGCTGATGAACCTGCCATCATTGCATAAATAATCCAAGAATATTAGAGGTGAATATATTAGATAAATATCTTTTATAATTTTTTTTGAGTGGAATATCGGATCTTAGATCAATTATCACTTTTGGTCATTGGAATATTGCCAAGTTAGTATGTTTTAGAATTTCATGGTCATTTGAA